AAAAAGCATACAAACTTAAACTAGCTGTCAGGTGTTATATATGTAGACTGTTTGTAACATGGCTTCTATACTTGCACTACAGAAAAGAAACATGCCAATCCATGCATGCTATATAATGTGTCTGTTTGTTTCATACTAAGTGGCTATACGATATATTGAAATCTTATATGCTAAAATTGGAGAAAAAATTACAATGTTTCCTGTGTGCAGAAGTCATAGGGATGATTATATTACTGATACCTAGTGTTATTATATCTATTACATTGAAATATAATGCTGAATTTCTGTTAGATTTTCACCTTTTGGGTAATATGTGCAAATACAAATAAGGTGTCAAGGTAGTACCGATTTTTCCATGTGTTGGTGGATGTGTGTCAAATCTTGTTCCACCAGTAACTCAACCACTGGGTGGATTGGGATTCAATTTAAGTCACAGACGATAAGTTTTGGTACAAATCTATACATATTAGATAATTTCCATAAAAATTAATGTTTTGTTGATATTCTAATAACAGTTTTGCTCGAATGGGTTTAAATCTTGGTACATGCATACTGTTTGTGCAGTTGAATGTCTAACACTACTTTGGAATTAATCTACATATGTTAATTACCTAATTTGCATATTAACGTCTTCCAGTATTTCACACCTTGCCATAACCAGATTATTATGGAGTGCTGTGTACCTGTATTATTACTGAAAATGTCAATGACGTAATGATTTTAATTTATGTATTATTCAATATAATTGAAAGAATTTACATTAAATTATATTGATATTTTCTTTAAATTATAAACCTCACTGTCTCACTGCAAATTTCTGTTCTTCAAATGTACAGTCCTTTGACCAACATAAACACTCAAATGTTGAGATTGTGGATAGATAATGAGAAATTAACTGTAGAATACAAATGAAAAAAGGCTGGGTCCTACTAAAATAAACTAGGGTTGTAAAAATGAGACCCTCCACTACTCACAAAATGAAATATGCGGGAAAAATAAGAGCAGGATATCTTTTTTTAGTCTCTCATATTTTTTTTTTATGGCTATTAAACAGCATTATTTAACTCATTTTTGTTTTCAGCTTGTTCCAGCAGTGAAGTTTTACATATTTTCTAGTGGGAATTCAAGTTTAATAAATGACAACTGAACCCTGGGAGTACCATAGACTTTTTCACCACCAGACTTTCTCGCCAACATTTTGTCTGCACTTCTAATATTCTTAAATATTTCTGGACAGACAGAAATTAGAGTTAATTTTAAGTTTTTACTAAAAAAAAAAAAAAAAAATTGGCTATTTTTGTTCCAATCTACTGAAAAAAAGTGCAGACTATAAACAGGACTACTTTGTGAATTTTTGATGAAAAGTGCAGACTATAAACAGGACTACTTTGTGAATTTATGATGAAAAGTGCAGACTATAAACAGGACTACTTTGTGAATTTTTGATGAAAAGAGGTGCATTTGAAGAACAGAAATTTGCAGTGAGACAGTGAGGTTCATAATTAAAAGTAAATATCAATATAATTTAATGTAAATTCTTTCAATTATATTGAATAATACTTAAAATAAAATCATTACGTCATTGACATTTTCAGTAATAATACAGGTACACAGCACTCCATAATAATCTGGTAATGAAAGGGTTAAATTTATACGTGAGATAAATCTGAATATATTTAAAACAAATGTCAGAATTGACCGCCACTTTTAACAAGGTATCTTTGGTTGTTGCTTTCTTCAAGGCTAGTCGTCATGGGGACCATACAGTTGGCATTGTTATTAAGAGACCAAAATCAGTAGTGAATGTTTGTTCTTATTTTCAGCTAATTGATTGGATCAATAATAAAGGAATGGTTTATTTAAGGCATAATACTGAAATCCCAGACTGTTTAAGCAGAGCTGAAATTATAAAAAATCATTTTGAAACAGGGTTTTTAACCACATCCAAGGTAAGGCACTGTCAGTGACAGTAAACTTGTATTGTTGGTAAATTTTGTTTGAAGCAATTGGTATAGGTAAATAATATGTATACCGGTATTACTGTAAATGCATTAATTATTCATCATTTTTAATTTAGCTATTTTTGTTGATAAGTGAAATTTGCAAATTTAAATCTAATTTAAATTAACAATAGAATCGTTTGTTTCTCTGCCAAGTTTGTGAACTTAAATCCCAGTGAATTTGCTTAAAACAACCAAATAGCGAAATAAATGGTTTTACAGTATAATAAATTTGCATAATATTTGAAATATATCAGAAGTTTTTTGTCAGTAGTTCAATATTACGATTATTTCCATTGATTCAATTCTAATTGTGTTATTATCATCAAGTCACCAAATTACATGAGTTGTTTTCTGTATCAGCCTTCAGGTCTTTTCTTTTTGAATTTATAAGACAACTATTTTTAATACTTATGATACCACTGTAACTGTGTGTACTTCATACGTGTAGATTAGTTAGTTGTGTTGTAGGCACATAACTAAATAATTTTGTTTTGCTTCACTACAAGAAGTTATCCAACATTCTGAGTGCCTATGTGCTCACACAACTAAATAGTTACGTTTTGTTTTGCTTCACCACAGGAAGTTATCCAACATTCTGAGTGCCTATGTGCTCGCACAACTAAATAGTTACGTTTTGTTTTGCTTCACCACAGGAAGTTATCCAACATTCTGAGTGCTTACTGCAGCAAGCTGATGACATGGTTATTAAAGATCACTATAACATTCCAGTCATTCTGTCCTCGTCTAAAAACTTCACAAATTTACTACAACAGTTCAAAGAGGCCATCCATAGAAGACATAAAGTCTTACACCATATCTTTATCTTCTACCTCATTTTACAGAAGGTAAGTTACTGATTCTTGTAATTTACCTTAGATGCTAATAATTAACGTGATGTGATGACTATTGGATTGGCAAAAATAAGTCATGTGACTCTCTCGACAAGATCTTTGTAGCTATTTCTGCCTTATATCTATTGATGGGGAGTATATACTAAATATGAATTTCAGTATCCCTTGGTTACTGTGGTTGTCATAGCAATGATTTTTGGGATGGAGCATGAACATTCTATAGTATCATCAGTTCTCTATTCAGTAAGATCTTGTAACCATGACAAATTCTATGTTCTCACTTTATTTCCTCCAGTGTCTGCAATGGTACAGAAAAACATTGACGTTTTTACCGTCCCAGTTACTAGAACATAAGGATTTTTTTGTTTCATCTTCACGCAAACATAGTAAACATCCTTACTTATTAACAATGGAATGGAGAAAAGAAAGTAGCAAGTTTTTATCTCATCATCCACCACCGAGTATTGATGACCTGCGTCGTTTGAAGGAATCCATTTTGTTGATTTCCGATATGAAAGTTCGAACACAGGCTAGACTGTTGATACATAGGTAAGTCACCTGCAGCTTTTGCGATCACTCTTCTCCAGAAAGCCACGGTGATGACTGCGGTAAACCACCTGTTTGATTTCTTACTCTCCCCTAAGCTTGTTTATGTTCAGCCACAAGTTAAATCATCAAACTATTGGAATACACCAGTAGTTACTCAACATGTACGTGAATGACAACACATGTAATACAATCATGGGACTTTTCATTATTGTAGACCTTGTGGGACTTGTTTCAGTTTTTTATTCAGGAAAAGGCATAACAGGATATTATACTCAAATACCAATATATTATACATAAAGACATTCGATAAAAAGCCAATACTCGAAAAAACTATTTTGACTTATTAAAGACAAATCATTGTCTACTATTCTTGGGGGGACGGAGCTACATCACAGAACGTTCTACGCTCCTAAGACGCACACCACTGTACTATTATTTCTATGGGCTCTCTGTGAGTTGTGAACGCCGGTTGAAGAGGCGGTGATAACAGCTATAGTTGAGTTATCAGCACAAACTCAACTTTGAAGTAATTGTGAGCGGTGAAAATGTACCCCCCCCCCAAATATATAGTATTGTGGGTAAGGTTTTATGCTAAGTATAAATAAAAAAATTTGCCATAGACCAGATATTCTCATAACTATCTCTTATTTGCAATTTGTCATATAGGCATTCTATCATCTTTACAATCCCGAGAGAGAATATGTTCCACATAACTATGAACTATGTAGTGCTGATAAGTCATATATGATATCTGCATCTAACAATGTCATCAGGAAGTCATCAGAGCATTATTTTAGACAAATTCATGAGTATGAAAGATTTCTGAATGTTTACTAGGTTTTTTTCTTTCTGAAAACATTGATCATAAATTAAGAAAGAAATTGAAATACAAAATATTACACCAATACCTTGACGGCCTCAATGCTCAGAAACTAAGAACGAGCTCTTCTGCGTTAAAACTATTTTATTTTCGGTACTTTCAGTTATTACGATTCGGTAATTTGGCAGCAATTGTGAAATTGAAAAGTCACTGTGACATTCTAGGACGTCAGTGAAAATCAGTGTAACTCCTTAGGACTTCAGTAAAAATCATTGTGACTCCCCAGAACCCAAGTGAAAGTCACTATGACTCCCTAGGATTCTACTAAAATTCATTGTAACTTCCTAGGACTTCAGTGAAAGTCATTATGACTCCCTAGGGCCCCAGTGAAAGTCACTGTGACTGTCTTTAAGATCCTGATGAAATGTTCAAAGCTACAAAACTTTGCTATTTTTCTGATACACTATGAAAGGAATATGTTTAATAATATCAATAAATTATGTCTTGTTTACTGACTAGGTGTTTGCTTCTGAAGCATTTATTCAATTTCAATGATACTATGAGTCCCAAGGAGTTATTAAAGATCTTTCAGTGGCAGACTAATTATCTAGAAGGATTTGATGACATTGAACTTGGAGACGATAGTGATACAGATCAAGACAAAACTGGCAACAATAATCGTAGGAAGAGTGAAGATGATGACAATGCTGGACAGGGAACGGGCAATAAGGAAACTGATAGAACTCATGATAATCATGATTTTAACGATGAGAAATATGATGATGAGGGTGATCAATTTGACAATACTTCAAGGACGTACAGTGAGCAGCATTATAGTCCGAGGAATAACTCATATCAACGAAAATCTACATTAAAAAAAAGAATTAAAGAAAAAAAGGAGAAGATGAAAAATCGTCGCTATAGTGATTTTGGTCCTCGTCATGTGAGTATCAATGAAGGAAGGAGACACAGTGATGGGTGGATACACAGTAACAATTCATATAGGACTGCAGCAGATGATAGTGGTGATAAAAAATTATACCGAGAACATGAAAACAAATTGCTACCATATCAACAAGATAAATTAGGTGAAATGGACACCACTAAGGAAACGTTTGGTATCTATGGCAATAGTGATGATGTGGAGGGCATGTTGAATGGTCCAAAACCAGCTACAATAAACAGTTCATTATTATCGCAGCAACAAGCTCCTATCATGCAACCAATATATTTAAAACTACCCGAATCAGACCAGTTATTGACTTGCAGTGTTGGCGTTGATGGTGTGTATCGCGCACAGCCAGTACACGTCAACAGTATAACGCCAGAACACATGGCAAAGTATGGAATGTACAGTCCAGTTCAGTCGGTTCATGCATCGCCTTCTCACATCATAAACCCAGGGTATGTGTACCCAACAGTAAATAGTAATAATTTACATAATACCTCGCCACTTGTTCCACAAAGCCATGTGAATCATATGCATCCTAGGACGTTGATACCGTTATCAAATAGTATGGGAATGATGTCTAATCAATATAGGCCACACACATCATCTGTTTCAACAAATCCGCAGTATCCATCACCCATCAATCATCTTCCAACCACACCTGTGCCAGTGAATTCCACCAATCAGCTAACCAGACTGCCTTACAGTAACATTTCTAATACACCAATGAGTGCAAAGCCAATCAGTGATTGGTCAGCACCAAGTCCAATGACGGAGCTAGAACAACTTGAAATGGAAGTGAATGCAGAGAAGAGACAAATAGAAGATGAAATTGAACTTGAGAGAAGCCTAAGTAGACCATCCATTGATAGGAGTCTCAGCCAAGGGGACTTATATAATCCAGACAATATGGATGGGTTGTTAAGAATTAGTCAATCACAGGAAAATGTCAGTGGAGATTTAGAAGCAGTACTTTTACAACAGTTGAAAATACTGATGAATTCTGAAGAAAGAGAGAAAGCCCCAAAACCGTATAAGCGTTATGCAAGTAAGTACTGGTTAGGTAATATTAATATCATTGTAGTGGTGCTTTATTTTATAGTGTGTTTTAAGAATTTGGATTCAAATTTTAGGTGGTGCAGTTAAACCTGTTTACAGCGACCACCAAAAATAAAATTATTCACCCTAATTATTTTCATATAATTGTTTTAAATCACCTCAAAATACATATTTCGTGAAAGCTCATTATTCACAGTTATTCAAAATTGATGTTATGTTAGATACAACCTTCATGCCATGTGAAGTGAAGTGACTGCTAAAAAAATAATAAATCCTTTGTGATTCATATGAGTACTGTGAAAAGGGATATCACTATTTTTTTTTTATTGAAAAATATAGAATGAAACATAAAAGTCTCAAGGATTTTGGATAACTTTTTTTTTTCTTTTAAATTTATAATTTTGCATTTTCACCAGAAAATTTATAGATAGAGAATTCTTCAAAACGTGTGAATTTAACAAAAATGACTGTTTGTCAAAATTAAAACAAAAATACACACTAACTTGCATATCAATAGTTGAATAGTGGAGTTGCTGTGTTAATATTTTTTTAAAATGGTCAAAAAATGTCATGGAATCATTTCTGACTAATGTGTTGACACCCAGTAAATTGTAGATGATATGTAAGCATTTAAAGATGTTCTAAAACTATGCATACTGGACTGTATGATTTATTAATTATTTAATATACATGGGAATGTGCAAAATTCAGTCATCACAACAATGCAGGTTGTTAAGTTTGACCATTTTAAGTATTTATAATTTATAATAAAACTCTGAAATATTAGTAATAAGATGTACCTGTGGATTCTATGAAATATAAAAAGTTCATTTTGATTAACATGTTCCAAAAAAACTTGTAATCACTACATCCTTAAAATATTTTTCATAGATAGGTGGTCTTTATATGGATGTTGGAATATTTGTTTATGTGAAATAATGAGACAGTACTATTGCAACAAAACCACAATTATTTGAGTTTTGAAACTCAAATTATGCTAAGTTTGTATATATGGTCACTAACTCTGGTTTGAATGTACACATTTTAATATATTCATGCCAGTAATGCAAAAACAGTGACAAAACCTTAGCCTTTTTCTCGTCTTCTATTTTTGGTGAATTCTTGGGTTTTAAATTAAAATAGCCGATAGACGCTTTGACCATTTGTCTTGAAATTTTCACATATTATTGACAAGGTGCTCCCTCATCAAAATGCGTCCGGACAGTTTATTATGGCGAGTGGAACAAAAATAACAAGTCCGCAATTAATATAGATATATAAATTATGCAAAAATAGAAAGCAGTGAACTTTGAGGTCATGCTGTGCGACTTTGAAAGTCGTTAGAGAGATGAGTGGACGCATTTGAATTAGTAGTATATCAAGGTATCCAGTGATGTAATTTTAACTACAAACGGGCTTGAAGTTTTTAAGCTAATTTTTTTAAACCACTTTTGCCCAATCAAAAACGCATTCTGGATATTTAAAACAAAGACAAGTTTTGCAAAGTTTGTATAATAACTTTTCAGAAAATATATAACATGTTGGATATATAATACCATCTTCATTGTCTAATAACTCAATTAAAAAGCAAGCCAAATAAACTGCATCTCCACCTTAAGTGTCAGGCTTGGTTATAGTGCCAAGCTTTTTGTAATTACGAATTATGACTGAGGTTCTTTTATTTTTACAGCCATATTGCATTTTAATGAACTGCGTAGTTATACACCATGACCAACCTGAAGACAGAATAAAATAGAATATGCACATACACAGTTCAGATGACAACTTTAATTTCAGTTCAATTCGTATACTCACAACTAAAATATACAAATATTACATACAAAACTGATTAAAACTATTACAATTATAATACTATTTTTTACTAGATTATATTTGTGTATATTATTCAGGAAATTCATTTTTCATATTTTTATGCAATTAATCTTATTAATTTCAGGAAAGATCAGGTTTCAAAAAAATGTATCGTGACAATAATATTGTTTTCTAATCTACAACTTTCTTTAGGATCAAAAACACCTCTCTCAAGTCAGTGTCTTCTATTTGCGCGTGTTTGGTAGATAGATGCGATATTGATACATTTAAATGATATAAAATACTGATATAAGAGTTTCACATATTACAGGGGGACATATAAGTAGTGATGGCATGACATCCGGCAATGAAAGTGATCCAGCACTAGAAGAGTATAGGAAAATGCTACAAGATGCAAAACAGCTAAGGTTTGTTGATTTGATGTTCTTGTATCAAAAACTTTGATACAGCTGAACAGAACGCATGGTAAAATTTATGATTACATCATTGTAAAGTATAAAATGCAACACCTGATTGGTGGGTGTTAGGATTCGCTATGACATATCGTTTCCTCCTCACAACATTGCACCTGATAAGTTGATGTTAGGGTTTGGTAGCCAATTAGGGACACTCTTCTAAGTCACTTTTAACTCACTCAATAAACAGGCAAGGTTTTCTCTGATTGGTAGGTGTTGGGGTTGAATAGCCAATTAGGGACACTCTTCTAAGTCACTTTTAACTCACTCAATAAACAGGCAAGGTTTTCTCTGATTGGTAGGTGTTGGGGTTGAATAGCCAATTAGGGACACTCTTCTAAGTCACTTCTAACTTACACAGTAAACAGGCAAGGTTTTCTCTGATTGGTAGGTGTTGGGGTTGAATAGCCAATTAGGGACACTCTTCAAAGTCACTTTTAACTTACACAGTAAACAGGCAAGGTTTTCTCTGATTAGTAGGTGTTGAGGGTTGAATAGCCAATTAGGGACACTCTTCTAAGTCACTTCTAACTCACTCAGTAAACAGGCAAGATTTTCTCTGACTGGTAGGTGTTGAGGGTTTTGGTAGCCAATTAGGGACAGCCTTGATAGCTCTTTCTCAGTTGATTGGTATTAAGATTGAGTAGCTAATTAGAGACATTCATGTCACTTTAGCTAATTCAGTAAACAGACATGGTCTTCCCTGATTGGCTGGGGCTGTGTAACCAATAAGGGACAACGTTTATGTCATTTGAACATAATGTGATGAATAATGCTGTTTCAAAAAATTGTAAAAAGTTATTTTTCATTTCTTGTTTGATAACTTTGCAGATTGGCATCAGAAGAATCATTACTTGAAGAAAAACTTCGGTATGAATCATTACGCCTGCAACAAGAAGAAATAATACAAACAGCCGTTGAGCAAAGTCTGAAAAGATCTGAGAAAATGCTACAGGTGAGAGAAACTTATTTTGTACACATTCTGCAAATATGATGATGATATGAAATCATTTTAGAAAGCTTAGGCAGTTTTATGATCTCAACATGTACATTGTCACATACTGTCAACAAGTCCATGAAGGTTGTACAGATTAAGTTTTGTTTTGCGTAAATAATTTGATCCTAGATCAGTTAAGATTATATAGGTTGATATTTCACAGGAAGAAGAGGAGGTGATACACCAAGAAGAGGAACTAGATAAACTTGTCAAAATGAATGAGGAGGAGGAGAAGTCACGTAAATCACCATGGCAACCATCGTCAGTGTTATCTGCATCTGCTGGCCCTGACACCTCATCTCTAGATGATGAATTGCAGCTTCTTGAACTGCCAGATAAACAAAATCACAGAAGATTAGCAAGAGGCTCAAGTTTGCAGCTTTCTGATGAAGGCATAGTGTTAGACAATAGCACATCACCAGATGGAAGTTTGAGTCAAATCCAGGACATGGATGCGGACCAACTTGTCGCTTTTATTGAAAAAGAGAGAAGTGAAAGGCCTAGGAAGAAATTGATGGTCGGTCAGATCATGGCAACTGCCAAAGATGTGCCAGAAAAGCAAGAGAAGACAATTGCACAAAAGCTACTGTATGATAAATTACAAGAAAATAGAAAGGTTTTTGAAAATGGTGGCAAAGAAGATTCACTGAGTGAAATAGATAAACAACTAAATGAAAAAATTATCATTGCCGCCAGATTGAACTCTGCAATCGATGCTCAGGACAATGAGCAACCTGGAATATGGACCTGAATATCATTTTTCATATTTTTTTTAATGTAGTAATTCATTTTAATATAGATTAAGCTGTAGAAGTGGACTTAATCATGCAGTGGTTAATTTCATGGAACAGTAATTTTGTACAATGTGGGACGTTCATCAACAGATGGTAGACTTTCTAATGTACACATACATTGCTTGTAATACATGTAAATGGAGGAAGTCAACTGGATACAACAAATTATATACTGACCGCACTCTACATTGTTAGTTTTAGAAAATACATATTCGTTTAACGAAGTGAACTTAGAATGTATACGTTAATAGCAGTTATATGTAATAATACGAATGCGATTGTATCCTAATTAGGATTTTATTTATATTTTATGTGTAAGGAAGCAAAAAGTCAATTATTTTATCTCATAGGTAGGCAACGTATGTTTGCTGAAAATTGTCATCCATTTCAAAATAATTTTGCATACATACCGGTAATGTTTGTAGAATAATTAGAACTGCTTCTTTGTGTTATTATGTAGATTTTGCAGTTGTGGGCCAGTGGGTGATGTTTCACATATTTTTGTAATGAAACGCACTACCAATTCGGGGAAAGAAATCAGTTCAAAAAATGTCTTCCAGTATTGGTGCAAGCATAAATTTTATATCGTATTTGTAGTGAATGTGCTTTTGTTTTACAGGTGTATTAAAGTTAATCAACTCATATTTTTATGATCCAGCATATAATAAATGCAATTTCTATTAACCTTTTCACCACCAATTCCCTCTTTTCATCACAAACTCAAAAAATAGTCCCGTTTCCTTCCGAGGAATGGAACAAAAATAGCCAAATTTTTTGATTGAAAACTGACTTAAATTTTGTCCGTTGGCTCCAAAATTAGGGTACATTTTCAGAAATATTAAAGAATATGAGAAAAAAGTGCAAAAAAATTTGAGCAACTAAGTCTGATGGTAAAAAGGCTAAAGCTGTACTCTATTGGAGCAAATATGGTACATGTTTTGGAGTTTTCATTCCATTACTGTTGTATACTTGTACATAGTATTGCAGCATATTACTTACACGTTTAAACTGTACAATTTAATGAGCGAAAAAACAACTTTTTAACCCATTTAATTCTATTTTTCAAATTATTCTTTGGAGAACAATGAATAGAAACTAAAATTGTAGTATTCTCTCAATTTTCAATTTTTTTTTTTTTTTTTGGTTTTTAATTGAGTAATCATATGCTGTTGTGATAACCTATTGTAAATATCCTTTAATTGTTTGTATTTTTCACAAAATTTACTTTTGAGGAAAGTAAGTGTAATCAAGTATTGCACTTATTAAAGTGAAACATTTTTACTTTTTTCAGATAACATTATTCAAACACACAAAGAAAAAAAGGGATTTACTTTACACCTACCGGTAGTATAAAATACACTACAGGAATATCTTTACTTTCTGTCTATCTATACTTTGATTCTTTGCGACTGTATTAAAAAGCATACAATGTAAATAGAGGCAAACAAATCCACATTGTTAGAAGCCGTACCCAGAATTGGGAGAATGTGATGTGTGTTATAGAAATTACTGAAGTAATATGACGAGCATAGTATACAGTGACTAAGTGTTGCATTTGTTTGAAAAATGCTCTGGAAACATGTTTTCCAGATGTCTCAGAAGTGGACAGCGCATAGTGTCTAAAATTATTCCAGCTTTTACCATTGGACTTGAACTGGTCAATTGGCATTAAAGAATGTTGTACCATTGACAGCTCTGAATATAGTCAAATTGACAAATTGAGCATTTTACTAACAAAAAGTCTGCAATTTGTGACAGCCGTACATTCAAGTCATGATCACAGTGGTTATGGCACATAAAACCACATGCACATTTCGCTCATGCTGGACATACTGCAATAATCATGTGACCTCGATTTTAATATATCAACACAAAACATAAAATTTAATTCTGCAGCTGAATTACAGTACTTCATTATCATATTCCCTACTGATTCCATTACAATGACATGCAATGTATTTAATGTTCTGGGTACCAATACATTAGTAATTACACATTCATGGAAGTGCGTGCTCCTGTGCGTCAGTATTTGAGGGGTCTTGTTATACCTGCTTAATGCTATTGTGTTTGTGACAAGTTTTGTCGTATTGCCAAGGCAAGTTATTTATTTCAACTAAGAAAGTGCTTGGTTCAACACATATCTGTCTTATATAGCTTTAATAAATTTAAATTTAATTTTGAATTCTTATCATTTATGGCAATGGGTAAATGGCAATAGTTATATATCAGATCTTGTATATTTTTTTTTATACGACATAATGCTGTGATTGTTGGGCTAAATATATCAATATTTCTTGCACACTTTAGCTTGTTTGTGTTTTTGCATTCCAAATATAGAATATAGAAAATGAGGTTATTACTTGAACAGCCGCAAGTTTGCATGAAAGCAGTGTGGTGTTAGTAACAGCTGATGTACAGCATTGGTCGATATGATTCTGTACTGCCTGAGTGTAACTTTATCATTTTGCATCTTTTTCCTGCTTGAAGGTAGTATGGTGTTAACGATAACGACTGATGTGCAGCATTGTTCGGTGCCATCCTGTACTGCCTGGGTGTATACTTTGCGGTATTCTCGCGATAACCTTATTATTATGCATTATTTTCCTGCTTGTGGTAATGTTTTAATGAGAAAATACGAACCAGAAATGGAAGCGGAAAATGGAAAGTAAACAATAGAAAGTGTTTGAGTGTGAAGTCAATAATCTTGAATGCGTCATTGTTGGGGATGTAAGTTCCAAATAAAGGAAAATTCAAACAATACGATTTGGAATGAATGCAGACTAAAAAAATAAATGTCCAACTTTTTTTACAGTGACAAAAAGTATTATTGTACTTCTTCTAGTATCAACAATAATAGAATTTATCAATCCATAAAAAGATCTAGACTTCTTGTTAAAAACCGCAAGTCCAATTGCTTTGATATTACATATCTAGGTATTACAGGTAGACCTCTCAGATTTGTTCATTTCATGATATCTTCAATTCTTTAATTTTAATTTTAATGAATATTTTTGTCTTTTTTGGGTAAAAAGTGATATTTTAGACTTCTTGTTAAAAACCGCAAGTCTGAATGCTTTGATACTATACATATAGCTACCTCAGGTAGACCTTACTCAGATTTGTTTATTTCGTGATGATATTTTCAATTCTCTAATTTTAATATTTAAAATTTGTTGTCATTTTTCGTAAAAAGTGACATTTTCAAATTTTTGTTGAAAACAGCAAGTCTGACTGTTTTGATAGTATGCATATTGTTCATTTTCTAATGATATCTTCAGTTCTTAATTGAAGTGTGCATTGCTAACAGTGGAGCTATCTCAGCCGATACATTTTGACATATATCTTAAATTCACACAGTCTGATTGTGTTTGAACTCAATTTAAGCTGGTACCCATTTTGTTTGACCAAAATTGTCAACTTTTGACTTTTTTGCACAAGTTGCTTATATCTAAATTCTTGCTGCCTGGTCAGGTTCAAACTTTAGTATACAGACAATTGTATTCTAGAACATCAATAATAGTTAATATGTGTCACGACCTTGTCTAAAATGGTGACTGGCAGCTATTTTGTTTTTGCTTTTAGGCTGATTTGTTTTAACTTTATATTATGGTTTTATATGTTGGGTTGCTGATGTATGTCATGTTGTTGTTTTTTGCATTTTTTGACTCAAAATGGCTGACTGGCAGCAACTTTGTTTGATAGTTTTGCATATCTGAAGGCATTTCTTAAACATGATTTGACCAAAAAGGAGCATATAAATGCTGACATTTCATTTGTCATATATTTAAGTACAAGAACAGAAGGGCCTGTGATAATCTCAATGGCTTGTTCTTGTTTTTTTTTAATTTGCAGATAATTAGAACAGTTTATTTCTCCAAGTTCAAAATAAAAATCATTTAACTTTTTGCGGCACTGTTCTTGTATAACGCAGAATCTTGTAAAAGTACTGAAAATCATCTACTGTAGAATACTTTATTTTCGCTTGGAATTTATTTTCGCTGAAGAGATGATTCCGTGAAAATAAAATCTAGCAAATATACTTGTTTCCTATATTTCACATTAAACTCAACAAAATTCAGTGAAAATAAATTCCATGCAAAAAGCCTTTTCAGCGAAAATTAATTCCAGCGAAAATAAAGTATTCCACAGTATCTAATGGATCAAGCTTTTGAGAGGTTTCAATGGATATATAACTCATACTTGTTCCTGTTTGCTCTCGTGTTACAGAACAAAACCCCACACATCTTTGTTTTTCCCAGTATACAAATAACCAAAGGAGTACCTTACACTGCAGATCAGTATATTGTTACACACTTGTCTTGTATATTACCATTTTAAGACAACAGAAGATTTCTAGTTCGGAAGGTACATAATGGGTCAGGTATAATATCCTAAATTTGAAACGCTTCACGCGAAAAGATACAGCAATACCATCGCTGTTGTGTCAATCAGGACGAAGACTGAATAATTTATTCCTATAATTTAATTTTTATAAGTATGATTTCCATCTTTGCATCCTTTTAACTGATAAAACATCGGGGGTCGTTTCAGCACTTAGAGAATGAAACTCATTGTTTATTGGACTACACTGATCAAAGGCTGGCATGAGAAGTTTGCTTGGTACATCAACGTGTTCTTTCCTCAATAGATATATGCTTTCGCTGCATCACATGATTCTGTATTACTCGAGGTAAGTGTGTGGACATCTCATTAAACTAAGGTGTGTAGAACTTTATTTTAGTTCTTTTACTCAGAACATTGTGATACCATACTTGCATATATTCTTGAGGAATTTTTTTCTGTTTTTAGTATTTTTGGTAAAAAAAATTTTTCTTACAATACTGAAAGGCAGCCCCTTAAGCTTCACCATACAGGCAACTGTGAGGTTATTCATATTCAAATTTTCATCAGAATATTTACATGAACCTAAATCCAGAAAGTAAAAATTTACACTTTTGAATAAGTTGCATATAAAATGTAAATCGCACAATTGAAACATCTGTGAATATAACTAGAGGTGTGTTATGTGCATTATAAGTGAAAAAATATGAATGACATCTGCTATTTTTGCATGTATTTCCTTCATTAACACGTTTAGTTCAGATCAGTAAATATGGAATGAAAAGGCAATGCCCCGCATATTAAGGTAACAATGATGTGTTTATTCCCTCCAAATGTGCAAAACATGAAGATGTGTTCTGGTTCTTTGGCATCTCCCCCAAATTCTGTAAGTACGGAACTGAGTGTCATTTACCTATTATCAATACTTTCTATAAGATTATTCTACTGGTATATGTCACTGCGAGTTTATCACTCCAGAGGTCAGAACTCTTATCAGACTACCTGGCATAATATAATGTGAACATTCTTGTGTGTTTTTTTTTAGGTAAAGGGCAAGGTAACTTTGTCCTATGACTATGAAAATTTCTACTTTTTGGTGTAATTTTAAAAATTTAGCTGAAAATTACGTACGGGCTATTTAAAATTAGCCAGTTCTAAATCACATTTTCTCAAGTCATTGGTTTTTCTCTTGATAATTGATTCAGATAAAAAGTGGACTAACTAGAGTAATTTCCATGGAAACGTGAAGTTTCATTATAAAGTGAAGTGGTGAGCATTTTTTTTTTATGAAACTGGATCAAATTTTGTACTACATCGATTGAAATCATGAACACTGATTTTTTGTCAGATAATGAAAAGGGCAGATTTAGATAACCTCTAGGTGTATCTTATTTTCAATACTAACACTCCACAACCTTTTATGTTCATAAGTTTTGAAATCAACACGGAAATTATACCGTAATAGTAAAATGCATAAAAATGATGTGCCAATTGCTGGTACTGCTCTGTCAAAACAGTGTTTATAAATTTTTAGCCTGCTGTCGACAAAGTCGTTACAGCGGAGCTGTTCATATTACTGATTGTCCGTCGTCGTTGTCGCCGTCCATCGTCGTCAACTTTACAATTTCAACTTCTTCTTCAAAACCGCAAGTCTGAATGTTTTCTAATTTGATATGCAAGTACTTTGGATGATTCTTTCTCAGATTTGTTCATTTCATGTAAAAATCTCAAATTCTCTATTTTTGATGTATATTTTTGTCATTTTTGGTAAAAAGTGATATTTTTGATTTCTCGTTAAAAACCACAAGTTCGATTGCTTTGATATTACATATATAGATACTACATGTAGAACTCTCTCAGATTTGTTCATCCTGATCTTTGATTCAAGGGTTGGTTGAATAATAGGTACTGGGCGACATATGTGCGATATAGGACCATGCAATGTAAAAAAAAACATTTTGCATAAACGTAAATTTTGTAAACGTGAATACCACTGTAGCACGTTAGGTCCAAGGTTTTGCTCATTCTCTTAAGGACTCGATGACAAAGTTTTTTCATTTTTTTCCCCCGTATTATACAATACCACAACAACAAGATTTATACATTCGTAAATATTGCTTTCAAAAGCATGCATTAAAAGATGAACTTTGATCCAGAAACAGAAATGGAAAACAAGCATTTCCTCATTGTAATGTATGTGGCTGACGTATCGCTTTACCTTGATCACTTTTTGAGAGGCCCCGAAACATGATTTTTTTCATATCTGGTAATCATCTTGGGGGAAATTTTGATAAAAAACATTTCACAACTCAAATTCAGAAAAAATAGATCCCCTGCTTTATTCTTGTACAAATAGACTATTCTGAAAATACATGTGCTTCATTATTCAGTTCCTTGTCTTCAAAACTGATACATAAGTACTAATTAGAGTGATTACCCTCTGCGTAATGACCATTCCTCTTGTCGCTAATTGGACATTGTACATGGTCTACTTTTATACAGATGAATTTAATGACCTAGTAGCGTTATTGTTCTAGTTTTACCAGCAACAGGGCTTACCACAGTGTTTGTAGCTGTGGAGATATCCAATGTACAAGCTATACTGTCGTTATCTAAAAAAAATAAAGCATATTATAATAATTATAATTATATGTATGATAAAAACAGAGCTTGAACTAATGGAAGCATCAAAGGCAGTAACAAAAAATATTACTTTGTTACCCAATGAGTTTGCCTTGGGACCCTTTGATATTCATCGTTATTACTATGTGCTACAAAGCAATTATAAATTTGGGGTTGAAAATGGGTGACCACTCAACTCTGAAGTCTAATCCCTTAATAAAGACTCGCTGTAATGCATAATTTGAAGTATGGAGTTTGTTAGTGTAAAATAATTAATTTTCACTGAAGGAATGATTTCAGTGAAAATAAAATTCAGCAAATATATCTTTTTTCCTGTGTTTTACATTCAACTCCAAGCAAAACACTCAAAATATCTATTCAATGAAAATTAATCCCAGCTAAAATAAAGCATTTCACAGTACTGTAGGTAATCAGATGATTATATTTGTTATCACTGTGCAAAAAAAAATGATATGTTTCAATTTCAGAATGCAGAATATTTTAAAGCATGGCAATTCTATAAATTTCTATGAATGAAATGTTCCATCAAATAATCGACAGAGTTTTTTTTTTTTAACAACGATTCATACACAGAACAGATCTATAGGTTTTCGCAGTATAAAAGACACTTCTTTTCAACATTGAGAGTCATCTTTTTCACAATTAGTTATAAGATTTATAAGCTTCCTTGTCAGGGTCATGCAGAACTTATTTTTTTTTATGTTGAGTTTTGACATGAGACTTTAATCAAAATGTAGAGCATGACACTCAATTCAAACCAAAATGTAGATTTAAGACTTGCCATTTTATATGAAATGTAGCAGTTTACTTTAGACAAAATATAGAATTCATTCATTTTACTCATTTTTACTCATTTTAAAAACTATCTGGGAGCCCACTCCCATCTGCATCTGAGTAAATATTGATATTATATAATTAGAAGTACTTGGTAACTATGCTGCTTATTTTTAAAGTTTCACAACACAAATAAAATCAACTACTAAATGATTATAGTAGTTTCAAACTACAAATAATTTACCATTAACTGTGTATTCTTGAGAATTTGGTTTGGTATTGTGTTTTGATAGAAACAATATAATATTGAATGTATAATGATAAAATTGATTAAAATAATTTGACATTTTATCGCGTTTTCATTATTTTATTATATTTTTTTTATATTGTTTTTTTTTCATCTGTCATGTACTGTTGATAAGTACGATAGATAAATAATGGAATAAAAAATACCTTTTGCTATCATTCTGTAAGTGAATCTCCCATTTGTGTGACTTGGTGTTGAAGGCATTGATCTTTTTAATAATGGTATTTTAATAAATCTTATTTCTGGTACTGAGCAAGATTCAACTGTTTCTTTGTATCTCCTCCATCTGCTCTCGTAATCAATCTTCATACTATTCTGAGATATTAAAAAAAATGCAAAACAAAAAATGTCATTTGAGTTGAGTTTATACCATAATTAGCTCTTAGAAGCTCATATACAATAACAAATTACATTTGTTTATATAAAATATTTATAAATGATTAAAAATTTCAAATGGTGATTGAAAACAACCAATCGCAAGTCTTAGCGAATGAATACCAATCGTTTCAAACTCCTAGGCGGTTGGTTAACCATTACACCCCCCACCCCCTCCCCGTTGACACTGGCTCGCTTTCACAATTTAAAAGTTCTGTGCCAAACGAAAATGGTAGTACTTGTAATTGCATTCTTTTAGCAAATTTTCAATGAACGAATTATTGTCATTTCAAGATTGTCAAACAAATTTGATGAGATCTATTTTTTGCGTTCATGGCAGTAAACCGACCAATAATTGAAGGGATCTCACAAAGTGTCGTGTGTGGTGGATGTTACTAAGTGGTTTCTTCAGCCAATCAAAGCATCTTCTTTGAATTTAGATGAAGCACGAGAATTTCAAGGTAAATGTTTTATAAATATTTCTAAATCATAAACAAATCATACCTTCTTGAAACCTGGTGTATACTTAATCATTAAAGTGATGGAGTCGTTTTCTGTGTATGTGGAAAACGGCCATAGCATGTTGTTGTTTACAAACAAACATCTAGCACGTTGTTATCGCCACTTAAGACTTAAGATTCAATTTTCACATGTTCGCAGGTGACATCCCTCCGCCTTAAATTATTACTTATTTTGACCGTATACCACTTTTGTAATTTATGTGAGTACATGGTCATGCACCTCTAATAAAACAAATATGGTATACAATACAAATCATTCTTTTTCCTTCCTTTCAAAGATTTTTGTATATCAATTAAAGTTGTAAGATAGGTTTTGAAAGCATGGTCACATTGAAACCAAACCAAATTCACGTTATTATTAAATTTTGAAATTAATTAAATTTTTCAAGTCTCAAATTTTGGAATAAGATTGCAGTGAAAACCAACTTGTTTTGAAAAGACTGACTGTGATAGATAACCCTATAGCTGTTTGTTATAAAACACTAAATGTAACAATTTTAGGTTGCTTACCTCATGTGAGTGTTTCCTATGTAATGCTGGTTTGCCAGTCAATGTTATCGATCTAACTCCCTGAAAAGTATCTAAACAAAATATTTGAGCTTTGGGCAGATTAGCACCAGCAGAAGAGCAGCCATGTCTACTTTTTCTCTCTCTAAACCTAGCATAGGTGTATAATTCCCTGAAAAAACATTACAAGAGTATAGTAAATTTATAAGTAGTTTCCCCTGACTTTACAACTAACTTACTAGTATTTGTCTAAAAACTAACATACTGAAAATCAAGGGAATAAACATAATCTTTTGATTGGTCACCTAAATGCTTGATCTAAAAAGCATCATCATATTTGTAAGCATTATTATATATTCACGTACTTTCAGAATCTGAACCAAGTTCAGAATCTCAGCACATACATTAGCAATTGAGTTCTTGAAATGCTAGGGTGTACCTCCAGAGCTAGGAAAGGGTATGAAATCTATGTTCTAACCAATGAATTCCCTCGCGCTATTTAATTGTGGAAACAATACAATAAAAAATATGTATTCGCAATTCCTAAAAATGATTTCCATATATACACAGGTAATGATACATTTTGTCCTTATCAAAACAAAAAATGTTTCTCCATCTTGAAGTACAAAGGCTTTATTGTCATATATCTGGGCAAGTTTGTGAATGATATTTTAAATGATAACAAACTATCAATTTATTAATAATATTATTTATTCAATATATTTTAATTTATGTATTTATTTACTGCATGATTTTTGTGTCAAATAAAATATACTACACTATACATTGTTCTTGCACCTCCATACAAACTTGTCTTCATTTATTTAACTATCTAACACACACCTTATCTTCAGGATCATAAAACTAATTCTTACCTATACTGGTCTGCATACTGAGTAGCATGCCTGAAATGTTTAAACTGATATGATATTGGTACAGCAGGTAGTGGCTCCTGCCATTCAGTTTTGCTGCTACCCAGTCGTCTACTATCTTGACTGCTAGAACTACGTTGTTTGATTGTGACCATGTGGTTATCGTCAACGTACGGACTAGATGGTGGAGCGCTGGCATTACGTTTATAAGGCGTTGATTGGTAAGTGCTACAGTAATACTGGTAGATGTGGTGGTTATTTTTACACACCTCCCATAATGGAAAATTCTATTAAAAAATATACAGTATTAAAAAACAAAAATTAATAATGAAATTTGTTTTTTCTACTTTTTTGATATACATGTTATGAGGTTATCATGAGATAATATGAGGCTATTACTAAGTTATTACGCAGCTGAGGTCGATGCTACAGCGTACTGTCTGAGTGCATACTTGAGGTATCCTCGTAATAACCTCATTATTATACATCTTTTCCTTCCAATGATACATCAGGGAATGTCAAAATCCAAAAAGTTTAGAATAGAATCAGTGAACTTCTTTGTTTGCAATCCAGTCAAACCCTGGTGGCAGCCATGTTTGTTTTTATTATAATAGGACACTTACGTGCATAATCATTCCATATTTGGAATTTGAATTTCCTAATAATATGATAGGATGAAAATACCCTGTAAAATACGACAAAATTACGGCACGCTGTAACTTATGGCATTACGGTGACAGATGTATAATAATACATTATACACTCAGCTAATATTCTGTAATCCCAAACTGCCTGAGTGCATACTTTGCTGTATTCTTGTGATAACCTTAAAGAAATGGTAACTAAAAAACTTTTGCATTCATGCAGTGATTGGATTTCATTTCCAGCTTCTGCTTCCAATGAGAACAAAGGTATAAGTGTTATAATGTGATATCTGAATAACCTGGTACATTTTTAAAGTTTGAGACAGACTTTATAAATTGAAAATTGCAACAATACGTTTTGCAATGAACGCAGATGCATTTATTTATCTCTTAGTCCGGTCACTAATCATATGTGTCATATACTAGACTGCATAATAGCAATACACAGAATGCAACCAACTATAATAACACTGGAATGAAGTCAGCGCTCCAGTCATGCTTCCATTATACCCTAAGGAATGCCCTCAGGCACTCATATTTTAATAACTCGCTAAGGCCCAGAAAAAAAATCATGTTTATGGTTATATGTCACAGATTGTTTTTTTCTAAGAAAGTCATAATTTTAAAATAAGCTAAACTTTTATTTTAAAATCCAGATAAAAATCAGTGTTTTCTGTTGTTATACGCTCTGTATGTATATATATCTTTTACCTCCAAGTTTCTCTGCAATTGTAAATTTGTTAAAAATATCTTCTGAAATATGTCTGCCATTGTCAAATGTTGCTTGAAAGACTTGTTAGGGGGCTCCATGGTCCATGAACTCCTTTGTCTGGTTGTCCATTCCAGCTGTTGCCATGGTGACTGTTCCACATTTTCATCTGTGCATCTAAGAAGTCCTTCCTTTGATGAGGATTCAAAATTTCTTTTATATGCACAGGGAAGATCAGGTGCACTGAAGTTTACATGTATCATTTTTTCAAATTAACTGAAAATTAATAAACAAAATTGGAAAAATATATTGTTCATTCATACATCATTAATAGAAATCTCTTGAGTGCCTCTACAATATCAGATTTATTAAACAAGTGTAGTAATTTTTATTTATTCTGAGACTACAATAAATTTTATACTGGTGTGTGCGTGTGTGTGTGTGTGTGTGTGTGTGTGTGCGTGTGTGTGTGTGTGTGTGTGGGGGGGGTAATGAATTTGATACGTATTTGATATCCATTTCTTAGCTTTTAAAATGCAAACAAAGCAGTCTAGGAATAGTGATGGGGCAAACCTGCTCACTAATTCGCCAAATACTTTGGTTTTGACTAAAGAAGATGATCTTTAATTTGAATATTACACTTTATTGGGTTGCCATCAAATGCTAGTGATCTCTAATTAAAAATATTTTTAATAAATTTATGAGTTTTTTCACGGCTGAAGATTATGCAAAATTTGTTGTCATTGTCAAATCTGCAACCAACGTTGTCAGCAAATTGGTGAGCAATTTTGCTTAGTTGTCGCCATAATACTTCAGATATTTGCTGTCAAAACATGTTTATTTTTTGGAGCTGTATATGTTTACTGTGAGTTTCTGTGATGTATAGGTAATATTCTATAATTCTGGTGTCAAGTCACTTTGTGAGAAATGATTACTGGGCATAGGGGAAACATTAGTGTGGTCGTTTACAATCTCCATATGAGTACAAGTATGAATAGGTGTGGTCATCTACAGTTTTCACATTGATAGATGCATTAGTGCGGCCGTTTACAATCTCCATATGAGTACAAGTATGAATAGGTGTGGTCATCTACCGTTTCCACATTGATGGATGCATTAGTATGGCCGTTTACAATCTCCATATGAGTACAAGTATAAATAGGTGTGGTCATGTCTAGTTTCCACATTGATAGATGCATTAGTGTGGCCGTTTACAATCTCCATAGTACAAGTATGGATAGGTGTGGTCATGTATAGTTACCACCTAGATGGATGCATTAGTGTGGCCGTTTACAATCTCCATATGAGTACAAGTATAAATAGGTGTGGTCATGTCTAGTTTCCACATTGATAGATGCATTAGTGTGGCCGTTTACAATCTCCATAGTACAAGTATGGATAGGTGTGGTCATGTATAGTTTCCACATTGATGGATGCATTAGTGTGGCCGTTTACAATCTCCACATGAGTACAAGTATAAATAGGTGTGGTCATGTCTAGTTTCCACATTGATAGATGCATTAGTGTGGCCGTTTACAATCTCCATATGAATTAAAGTATAGAGCGATACATTGGTGTGTCTGTTTCCAAAATTTCAATTTATAAAATTGAACAGTATATATATATATATATATGGACAGTATATTTAATTATATTGTTCAAAAATGAGTGAACAGGACTAAGTGAGTCGTTCTTTATCTTCATCCCATCGAGCATACACATAGTTTTTACAATAATATAATTAGTATGTATTTTGACATTTCTGCATTATGGTTTCTCGGAATCCAATCTAAAATAAAAGGTCATATAGTGATGTCTTGTTTATCAAAATAGCATTCATATAATTTTCAGTAACTTGATATATTGAGTGACTTTTTTAGCTCCGCTGTCGACTTTGTCGAGCGGAGCTTATCATATGAGTGATTGTCCGGCGTCCGGCATCGTCCGGCGTCCGTGTCAATGTTTTACTTTTTCGACTTCTTCTTGAAAACTACAAGCCTGAATGCTTTGATACTTGGTGTATATGTACCTTGGGTGGACCTCTCTCAGATTTGTTCATTTCATGATCATATCTTCAATTCTCTAATTTTGGTGAATATTTTTGTCATTTTTGGTAAAAAGTGATATTTTCGACTTCTCGTTAAAAACGGCAAGTCCAATTAGCTTTGATATTACACATATAGGTACTACATGTGAATCTCTCTCAGATTTGTTCATTTTGTAATGATATCTTTAATTCTCTAATTTTGGTGAATATTTTTGTCATTTTTGGTAAAAAGTGATATTTTCGACTTTTTGTTAAAAACCGCAAGTCCAATTGCTTTGATACTACATATATAGGTACTACAAGTGGACCTGTCTCAGATTTGTTCATTTTGTAATGATATCCTTAATTCTCTAATTTTGGTGAATGTTTTTGTCATTTTTGGTAAAAAGTGATATTTTCAACTTCTTGTTAAAAACCGCAAGTCCAATTGCTTTGATATAACATATATAGGTACTACATGTGGACCTCTCTTAGATTTGTTCATTTTGTAATGATATCTTTAATTTACTAATTTTGGTAAATATTTTTGTCATTTTTGGTAAAAAGTGATATTTTCGACTTCTTGTTAAAAACGACAAGTCCAATTGCTTTGATATTACATATATAGATACTACATATGGACCACTCTCAAATTTGTTAATTTCATGATGATATCTTCAATTTTCTAATTTTGGTGAATATTTTTGTCATTTTTGGTAAAAAGTGATATTTTCAACTTCTTGTTAAAAACCGCAAGTCCAATTGCTTTGATATTACATATATAGGTACTACATGTGGACCTCTCTCAGATTTGTTCATTTTGTAATGATATCTTTAATTCTCTAATTTTGGTAAATATTTTTGTCATTTTTGGTAAAAAGTGATATTTTCGACTTCTTGTTAAAAACGACAAGTCCAATTGCTTTGATGTTACATATATAGATACTACATATGGACCACTCTCAAATTTGTTCATTTCATGATGATATCTTCAATTCTCTAATTTTGATGAATATTTTTGTCATTTTTGGTAAAAAGTGATATTTTCTTCTTGTTAAAAACCACAATCATTTATGGTTAAAAATTATATTTTTGAATTCTTGTTGAAAACAGCAAGTCTCATTGCATTGATACTATGCATATTGTTCATTTTCTAATGATATCTTCTGTTCTTTAATTGAAATGTGCATTGCTAACAGCGGAGCTATCTCAGCCGAGAGGCTGCTTGTTTGTTTACTTGAACATATGTGCTACTATTATAAAATATGGTGTATGAAAGACATTAAATGTGTATAAGCATGTCAAAAATGGTTTAAATACCAGTATGTAAATGTTTAGTTTACCCACAAGTCTGTCCTGGGGCAAGCAGCGCCCTCTAAAGGATTATGAGAGATATGCTTGACAAGGGTAAATTCAAGGTGACCCCAACTTTTGCATTACGGTACATTGAAAAAAAAATTGCTGTTCCATGTAGCATCGCTATTTATTCATAAAAATTATGTATTTTAAAACTTACATCAAAATCTCAAAACCATTCACTTTTGAAGAGTATTTCTGTTATTTCCTTGAAAATCTTTTTGTGGAATAGTTGTACTTTTTTTCACTAATGTTATTAGCATGTTCGCTGACATTTTCGATCATATCAATTCAGATATTTGAGCCTTTCTACCGAGAAGCTGAGGAACTAATCCAGAAGCTACCACCTGCCTTCCAGCAATTGATGTCACTTTCTGACTTGCCAAAAGGCAAAACAGTGGAAGAATTACGAACACAGAAAACACATATACTACAAGAATACCGTGAAGTGAAAGGGTAAAACTATATTCATTTATTATAAATATTTAAATTTAAACATGAAATTATAGGTTCATAGGCTGCATTTTGGGGGGATTTGATTCTGTATAACACTGAATACTGTGGTACCAAAGGAGAAAAATAGGGTGAAATATAATTATTCTAATACTGTAGAATGACTAATTTTCACTGGGTTTTAATTACGCTGATTTACCATTTCAGGCATATTCAGTGGGTTTTAAATTCACGGTTTTATTATCATTATGCTAAATTTTACATATTCACTGGGTTTTAATTTAGCACATTTTCTAGTCAGCGAAATAAGCAAAATTAAAACCCAGTGAATAATTAATCCTTCTACAGTAGCAAGCAAAAACAAAGTGTACACAATCACGCTAGTCACAATAAACATGGTACTCTTAAATAGAAGTCAGTGACTGTGAAAAACATAAATTTAGCTGCTAGAATATTTAAATGTTAAAGAATGACACCTAAATTAGAGTATTTACGGTAGTATGCAAATAGCTTGTTAATACCAAGGAATGAATTGGTCGAAAAAAATTAAACTTCTAGTGTTGTAGCTGCTTTTTACTTCAGTACAGTCTGTTATCCTAAAACGTTAACCCATTTATAAGCATTTGTAGCCATGATTATTATTTTGGCAAGTTTTAAATGGATTAAGGTAGAAGCATACTCATAAATTTAAAAACCCAGAATTTATTCATTTTGAAATAAATTGTACTCTAAGCCAATATAAGGATATTGACCTAAAAAAAGTTGGGGTCCCCAACCTTTTTTTCGAAAAATTGATGGTTGTATTTTAGTGGAAAGTTGCCATTTTGACACTATTATGCAATACCAATATCTCAAAATCTAGCCTGGTGACATGGGCTGAAAAAATCATATATTGTTAATGATGGAGTACTTTTTGTTGTTCTGAATTATTTAAAAAAATCTGGGTTTTAAAAAGTGTCAAAAAATGCAATTGTGTTCTATGGAATTGTTCTAAAAATAGCAATTTTCAAGAAATATTAGAACACATTTCTCAAAAAGCTTACCTGTAACATACAAATAATGCTATTTCATTGTACCATGATACATTAGCTTCATTATTGTACATAATAACCTAATGAACATTGTCACCTTAAAAACAATCCTAAAAAAATTAGCAAAAAAAAAATGCCACTCATTGATGTATGATAGCTTATCTCCATTGTGATGTCTACGGGATATTTAGTCTTATTTCTAAAGTGAAATCTGTACTATAAGTGCTTTAAAGTGAAATCTGTACTATAAGTGCTTTAAAGTGAAATCTGTACTATAAGTGCTTTAAAGTGAAATCTGTTCTATAAGTGCTTTAAAGTGAAATCTGTACTATAAGTGCTTTAAAGTGAAATCTGTACTATAAGTGCTTTAAAGTGAAATCTGTACTATAAGTGCTTTAAAGTGAAATCTGTACTATAAGTGCGTTAAAGTGAAATCTGTACTATAAGTGCTTTAAAGTGAAATCTGTACTATAAGTGCTTTAAAGTGAAATCTGTACTATAAGTGCACTATACTACTTTAATGTCCAAACCTGCTTACATTGAAAGATGTTAAGCATAATTTTACATTCTGAAATTAATTGAAATCCTGATGGTCTGTAATACATCCCGATTATAAAATTAGTGTGATAAAATCACATTTAGTAAACACCAACTTTTGGTTACTAGTATGATAATTTTGTTACATGTATGTATGCATATTTGCTTGACTAAAACAGAAATCAAACAATGCTATAGAATTACCCAGTGGGAACATGATATCACTGTAATTCACATATTTAGATCTGTAGTCATGTTCCTTACTAGGTGAACCGTTACTTGTAACATATCACCACGACACCGACACAAGGATAGTTCTACCAAGTCATGTGGCCAGCAGTATCTGACTTGATAAAGTACTTATTGATGGAGTTAGTAGGGGGAATCACTTGTCCAAAGTCACCTATGCAGCTTTCAAGAGAAAACAAATTGTAATTTGGGTTAAATATTTTGGCCAGACATGTTTGGGTACCCAACTTATACCCACAAGACCTTCTCAGAGGGATGGTTATGTGATTGTTTTGCTTTTTTTTTTTGCAGGCAATTGGAAATTGATCCACTGTTAAGCCAGTGTCGAGGATTACTCAACAAATTAAGGGTGCCTGATGACAATCCAATCTTTGTATCAATGGCTCAGACACCAATGTTCAAAGATACATTATTAGTTATGGAAAAATATTTTGAAAGACTATCAGGGGCTGATCAGAAATCTGATGTGCTGTACCAGAAAGCTGATCATAGAATTACTCAGTTATTGCAACATTTGTTGTTTGAAAGTAATCTCAACCAGGTGAGTGGTGCTAATATTAGAGAAGGTTAAAAGCACCTTTGAGCATTTGGTTTAGACTTCTCTAGCCAGTGCACAGAAGTTTGCGAATATGCAAGATAAAATGAACCAATGAGTAGTACACATTAAAATGAACCAGTGTGTAGTGCCAAATTAAAATGAACCAGTATGTAGTGCAAAGATAAAATGAATTCAGTATGTAGTGCAAAGATAAAATGAACCAGTGTGTAGTGCCAAGATAAAATGAACCAGTGTGTAGTGGCAAGATAAAATGAACCAGTGTGTAGTGCCAAGATAAAATGAACCAGTGTGTAGTGCCAAGATACAATGAACTAGTGTGTAGTGCCAAGATAAAA